ATCCATGTCAGTTGTCTCTTACAACAAGGTACACGGGACCATTGTATTTCATTTAACATTTGGTTTTAGTAGCCCCACGTCAGGTCCTCAAATACTGTTTCACAAAGGTATCATATCACTGTCTGCATCTGTTCAGAAATTCAGAACTACTGACTTTCCATGCAGCTTTGCTTCCTCCAACAGCTGCCGGAAAGAATCCTTCTTCTCCCGGAGTTTCCTGTGCTTCTCCCGCCTCTCCTCCTCGGCCCGCTCCTTGACGTACTGCTCGAACACCTGCTTCCTCTCCTTGGACGTCAGCAGCAGGTAGCGCGGGTCGAACACGATCTTGTGAAGCTCCTTCTCCCATGTCGAGAACGCTGATACCTGGTGGGAGGGGACAGGTTCTCAGTTTAGAAGAGGTATCAACATTCAAGCAGCCAAGGATATAATATCAAATACAATTATTTATTCAAATTCCTGGCAGTTTAGAGCAAACTGTTACTTTTTCACTGACAGGATTGTCATCGTCATGAGCATTATTCAAATGTACAAATGTGGGAAATCAAAGCGGGGTCTCTGGCTTGAGGAGCTACCACATCACCCCCAACAGTGTGTGAGTTTGCTTCACTATTGCAGTGAAATCCCACGTGTCAGCTTGATGTCGAAGGCTTTAGGACAACAGAACAGCGTGCTGTACACAAGACTGCAGCAGCGCCACTACATGACCACAACAGTCCTAGTACCTCCTTCTCTGCCAGCATGTCACGGAACTGCTTCATCCGGATCTCCAGGGGGACGATGGCTCTCTGCCTGGCTGCCTGCACCTCCGCCTCGATGGCCGCCTCCTTCCCAGCGTCGATCTTCTTGGGGAACGCTGTCTCCTTCTTGTCCTCCTCCTTGCTCTCGTCCTTGTCCATCCTGCCACAGACAGAACACATGCCCTTCACAACCTATTCCATATCCAGGATGACATCAAGTTTGACATTTCTTTGTTTTAGATACTTCAATATGTCCTGATCTTTCATCACTCAGGTAAATGATGCATGATCAGTTAATGGATTGTTATTCTTGTTAATGACCAGTTAAACTTGATGCAGAGACGGATGAGCATCTAACATTGATTTTTCTTAGTTTTTCTTTACATTTTCTTTCGCAATTTTGTCACAATTAATGCTACGGCAAACACACAAAAAATAGAAATCCTGATACACATGCCACGATCATTGGAACATGTTATAAACCACATGTAGTTACAGCTCAATCATCACAATCTGCAGAGTGGACAAAGACCAGATAAGACATACTTCTTTTTCTTGGATGCTGGTTCCTCATCGTCTTCTTTCTCCTCCTTCTTCTTCTCGGCTGAACACAATGTCAAACGGATCAGTGAGTTTGTGAAGCAAGAAAAAGAATACTTCAAGAATTTACCATATTAAAAAACAGACATTCATCACAGTAATTAATCTAGTGTTAGCAAGCAATGAGTACGATTTTACACCCATTTTCAATTAATTTTGACCCAACACTGGGAGTGAGTGAGCAACAGTTCTAATATTCTGCAGTCAACAACATTTCAGATATATCATGGAAGTAAGTAATGTTGGCCATGATGTCAACAACATTTCAGATATATCATGGAAGTAAGTAATGTTGGCCATGATGTGCTTGGATGATACAGACAGCCAGGTTGTGGCAGTCAGACTCCCGTGTAAGTCAGCTCTCACGCCAAGCAAGGCGAGCTGGGGACCTACGCCAAGGCCGACATCACACAACAGAGAGTGTCCACGATGACAGACAGATCACAACAGCATGTAAGAAACCTAGAGAAACCATGAGTAATGATGACGTACTAGCTGAAGGACGACTTGTCATTCACTGTTAATGTATCAGAGTCACGATCATCTTAGAACAATGTTAAGATCTGAGACTTGTTCTTTCTATTTTGTTCCCCATCCATAGTCTTATCATAATCATAGAAAGCCATTGTGAACATTCAATCTCACTTAATTTAGTTCTCACCCCAAGCATAAGGGTGTTATATTAAACACACAAAACTGGGTTTACCTGGTTTCGTGTCTGGGGGACCGGCAATCATCTTGTCCACATCCGGCCTGTTGAGGAGCTCCTCGGGTTTCTCCCACAGAGACTGCCTCTGACTGGGGTTGTAGAAGAAACACCGCCCATCTCCTGTCCACACAACACACCTACAAACAAAATGGTAAAATGCACCAACTGTAAATATTGCACACCAACATTACGACCTGCATTAAGTATGAGAGAAAAGTTTCTTGCAGAGCTACAGATACCACCCAAAAATATTCAAAACACAATTACTTTCAATCATCTTGCGTACATAAACATGTGCGTTAAAGGAAAAACTCAATTGTATAAAAACATCGATGGTTGCATATGATTATGTCGGAGTAACGAGTATGTCGGATAAACGAAATTTAGTAGTATCAACGTTCGTGATCGAAAATCGGACAACTACACGATAGATAAGGATTCAAACACGTAATAAAAAATATAAAACATATATTCATATTGTTATGTTACATTGTTGGCGGAATATGTTTTCTGAACATGCTCTAAAGTTTAACACAAAACAACTGTTATGGACTGTATGACCGATGCAAAATACTTTAAAAAGCATAGTCTGGAATGGAAGTCGCAACTTTGAAACTGGTACCCAAAGCTTAAGAAAGCTGCTTTCTAAGTGGCTAACGTCGACTTCCTGTTGGTCATTTCATTGGTAGGTCATAGTTCGCGAAAGGTTGTTCTGACATGACCACCTGTAATGGGATGTCCTCGGCGATAGCGAGAACTTGTATCTGATCTTAATAAGATTGAGGTAATCTAAGCATGTGAATTATCCTGTTTTCTTTATTTAAAGCATTAATTGTTTATTGTTAAACAAGTTTATCTCTGCAGCCGTTGTAATATGCAGCTACCAGCCGATTCGTCTCGCATCAAAACACGGGCTGTGTACTCGCAGGCAGATGACCACAGAGTACGCTGATCACTGTGTCGGATTAATGAGACTGATTAATGAGTAATTTCCAGCAATTCGTTGCAAATAAGGTGTGTCAGAGTCGGAGTGCGAGACTGTCGGATTAACGGGTCTAAATAGCACTGATTTAATCGGTTCCCATAATTAGTGTCGGATAAAGCTGATTGTCGGATTAACGAGTGTCGGATTAACGAGACTTGACTGTACATCTAAAACATGATTTCATTTTTTTTTAATCTTAAAATGTTCACTAATTTTGGGAAAAACCCAATAAAGTGATGAATGGATGAGTGAAATAATATTGGTTACCCAATGAAAAATTGTTATTACCCAATAAAAATAGAAATCCTAGAGTAAAAACTCAATTGCTCAAAAATTTATCTGGAGCTCTGTTCTTGTGCAAATTTGTTAACATTTGAATAATGTGAATACGTTTGCCCATGGAATGTTAACATTAGCGATAGCAGAGCTTGAGAGTATGTCTCTGTGAGAGTTGTGATAAGAGAAAACTACAGACTGTACCAGAAAACACAACACAAACTGACATACAGTGCCTCTGTGCCTCCACAACAGTGTGGAGTGATCAATGTACAGTCATAACCTCAATCTGATGCAACCCTTCCTCCCTGGTATGACCCAAATACAATTGCTATGACAGCCCGTCAAGATCCGAGTTTGAATTGGTCTACAGCAACCCATGCTTATCGTAAGAGGCTTTGGGACCAGGTGGTCAAAGTGGCTGACTTGGTAGATGCATGTCATTGTAGGCCAATTGTGTAAATTGATGCTCCTGGTGTCAGTCATTGGATTGTCTGGACCAGACTCGATTATTTACAGACTGTCGTCATATAGCTAGAATATTGCTGACAGCAGCGTTAAACAACAAGCAAACAAGTTACTATGATGGACTTACCATGGCGTGCCAGGGACGGGTGTACTGGACACTGGTCGAGCTTTCTCTGCTGCCTTTTGTTCCTCCGTCTTCTCGTCTTCCACTGGCTTCTCCTGGGGGAACAAACATGCATGTTAGCAGCAACACACCACAGACGATATAAGTAAACCGCATGGGTCATGATCATGGGAGTCTTAGGCAAGTAGATTCTTGGATATCTAGATAACAATTAATAACCAAAACTACCTCCTCCTTTTCTTCTTCTTTTACTTCAGTCTCCATGGCAACCTCCTCTCCATTTGTGGCTCCATTTACATGAACAGGTGGCTCTGTCTTCACAGGTGCTGGTATCTGATTGACTGAAGCTGAAACAGACAGATCCAGCATAGTTTGATCTGAATCATAACTTCTAGTTAAATGCACAGGGGACATCACAGTTTAACATGGAAGACTCTTGTTGCAGCGTTTTCTATCAAATTCTACAGCCTCAACATAATGCTGTCTCTCCCAATGACAAATGATGTACAATAAGTGGCAACATTGGGGGACAGTTACGTTCACAGCGACCATAATCCTTATAACCACAAGATGCCCAGACTTCCAGGGTTTGGACTGCCATGGATACAACTGTCATGATCCTGTATACAGGGAGGACAGGGGCAGCATATCCTTGGCCTCCCCCAACCTTCCCATTCAGCCAGTGTCTGGTGCTTCTGTCTACCTTCCCATTCTGCCAATGTCTGGTGTTTCTCCCTACCTTCCCAATCAGCCAGTATCTACTGTTTCTCCCTACCTTCCCATTCTGCCAGTGTCTGCTGTTTCTCCCTACCTTCCCATTCTGCCAGTGTCTGGTGTTTCTCCCTACCTTCCCAGTCACCCAGTATCTACTGTTTCTCCCTACCTTCCAATTCTGCCAATGTCTGGTGTTTCTCCCTACCTTCCCAGTCACAAAGTATCTACTGTTTCTCCCTACCTTCCCAGTCACCCAGTGCCTGGTGTTTCTCCATACCTTCCCATTCAGCCAGTGTCTGGTGCTTCTGCCTACCTTCCCAATCAGCCAGTGTCTGGTGCTTCTGCCTACCTTCCCAATCAGCCAGTGTCTGGTGCTTCTGTCTACCTTCCCATTCAGCCATTATCTACTGTTTCTCCCTACCTTCCCAGTCACAAAGTATCTACTGTTTCTCCCTACCTTCCCAATCAGCCAGTATCTACTGTTTCTCCCTACCTTCCCAATCAACCAGTATCTACTGTTTCTCCCTACCTTCCCATTCTGCCAGTGTCTGGTGTTTCTCTCTACCTTCGCATTCAGCCAGTGTCTGGTGTTTCTCCCTACCTTCCCAATCAGCCAGTATCTACTGTTTCTCCCTACATTCCCATTCTGCAAGTGTCTGCTGTTTCTCCCAACCTTCCCAATCAGCCAGTATCTACTGTTTCTCCCTATCTTCGCATTCAGCCAGTGTCTGGTGTTTCTCTCTACCTTCCCATTCTGCCAGTGTCTGGTGTTTCTCCCTACCTTCCCAATCAGCCAGTATCTACTGTTTCTCTCTACCTTCCCATTCTGCCAGTGTCTGGTGTTTCTCCCTACCTTCCCAATCAGCCAGTATCTACTGTTTCTCCCTACCTTCCCAGGCACCCAGTGTCTGGTGTTTCTCCCTACCTTCACATTCAGCCAGTGTCTGGTGTTTCTCTCTACCTTCCCATTCTGCCAGTGTCTGGTGTTTCTCCCTACCTTCCCAATCAGCCAGTATCTACTGTTTCTCCCTACCTTCCGTTTCTGCCAGTGTCTGGTGTTTCTCCCTACCTTCCCATTCTGCCAGTGTCTGGTGTTTCTCCCTACCTTCCCATTCTGCCAGTGTCTGGTGTTTCTCCCTACCTTCCCAGGCACCCAGTGTCTGGTGTTTCTCTCTACCTTCACATTCAGCCAGTGTCTGGTGTTTCTCTCTACCTTCCCATTCTGCCAGTGTCTGGTGTTTCTCTCTACCTTCCCATTCTGCCAGTGTCTGGTGTTTCTCCCAACCTTCCCAATCAGCCAGTATCTACTGTTTCTCCCTACCTTCCGTTTCTGCCAGTGTCTTGTGTTTCTCCCTACCTTCCCATTCTGCCAGTGTCTAGTGTTTCTCCCTACCTTCCCAGGCACCCAGTGTCTGGTGTTTCTCTCTACCTTCACATTCAGCCAGTGTCTGGTGTTTCTCCCTACCTTCCCAGGCACCCAGTGTCTGGTGTTTCTCTCTACCTTCACATTCAGCCAGTGTCTGGTGTTTCTCCCTACCTTCCCAGGCACCCAGTGTCTGGTGTTTCTCTCTACCTTCACATTCAGCCAGTGTCTGGTGTTTCTCTCTACCTTCCCAATCAGCCAGTATCTACTGTTTCTCCCTACCTTCCGTTTCTGCCAGTGTCTGGTGTTTCTCCCTACCTTCCCATTCTGCCAGTGTCTGGTGTTTCTCCCTACCTTCCGTTTCTGCCAGTGTCTGGTGTTTCTCCCTACCTTCCGTTTCTGCCAGTGTCTGGTGTTTCTCTCTACCTTCACATTCAGCCAGTGTCTGGTGTTTCTCCCTACCTTCCCAATCAGCCAGTATCTACTGTTTCTCCCTACCTTCCCATTCTGCCAGTGTCTGGTGTTTCTCTCTACCTTCCCATTCTGCCAGTGTCTGGTGTTTCTCCCTACCTTCCCAATCAGCCAGTAATTACTGTTTCTCTCTACCTTCACATTCAGCCAGTGTCTGGTGCTTCTCCCTACCTTCCCATTCAGCCAGTGTCTGGTGTTTCTCCCTACCTTCCCAGGCACCCAGTGTCTGGTGTTTCTCTCTACCTTCACATTCTGCCAGTGTATGGTGTTTCTCTCTACCTTCCCATTCTGCCAGTGTCTGGTGTTTCTCTCTACCTTCGCATTCAGCCAGTGTCTGGTGTTTCTCCCTACCTTCCCAGGCACCCAGTGTCTGGTGTTTCTCTCTACCTTCACATTCAGCCAGTGTCTGGTGTTTCTCTCTACCTTCCCAATCAGCCAATATCTACTGTTTCTCCCTACCTTCCCAATCAGCCAGTATCTACTGTTTCTCCCTACCTTCCCAATCAGCCAGTATCTACTGTTTCTCCCTACCTTCCCAATCAGCCAGTATCTACTGTTTCTCCCTACCTTCCCATTCTGCCAGTGTCTGGTGTTTCTCCCTACCTTCCCAGTCACCCAGTGTCTGGTGTTTCTCTCTACCTTCACATTCAGCCAGTGTCTGGTGCTTCTCCCTACCTTCACATTCAGCCAGTGTCTGGTGTTTCTCCCTACCTTCCCAATCAGCCAGTATCTACTGTTTCTCCCTACCTTCGCATTCTGCCAGTGTCTGGTGTTTCTCCCTACCTTCCCAGTCACCCAGTATCTACTGTTTCTCCCTACCTTCCCAATCAGCCAGTAATTACTGTTTCTCTCTACCTTCACATTCTGCCAGTGTCTGGTGCTTCTCCCTACCTTCCCATTCAGCCAGTGTCTGGTGCTTCTCCCTACCTTCCCATTCAGCCAGTGTCTGGTGTTTCTCCCTACCTTCCCAGGCACCCAGTGTCTGGTGTTTCTCTCTACCTTCCCATTCTGCCAGTGTCTGGTGTTTCTCTCTACCTTCCCATTCTGCCAGTGTCTGGTGTTTCTCTCTACCTTCGCATTCAGCCAGTGTCTGGTGTTTCTCCCTACCTTCCCAGGCACCCAGTGTCTGGTGTTTCTCTCTACCTTCACATTCAGCCAGTGTCTGGTGTTTCTCTCTACCTTCCCAATCAGCCAATATCTACTGTTTCTCCCTACCTTCCCAATCAGCCAGTATCTACTGTTTCTCCCTACCTTCCCAATCAGCCAGTATCTACTGTTTCTCCCTACCTTCCCAATCAGCCAGTATCTACTGTTTCTCCCTACCTTCCCATTCTGCCAGTGTCTGGTGTTTCTCCCTACCTTCCCAGTCACCCAGTGTCTGGTGTTTCTCTCTACCTTCACATTCAGCCAGTGTCTGGTGCTTCTCCCTACCTTCACATTCAGCCAGTGTCTGGTGTTTCTCCCTACCTTCCCAATCAGCCAGTATCTACTGTTTCTCCCTACCTTCGCATTCTGCCAGTGTCTGGTGTTTCTCCCTACCTTCCCAGTCACCCAGTATCTACTGTTTCTCCCTACCTTCCCAATCAGCCAGTATCTACTGTTTCTCCCTACCTTCTCATTCAGCCAGTGTCTGGTGTTTCTCCCTACCTTCCCATTCTGCCAGTGTCTGGTGTTTCTCCCTACCTTCCCAGGCACCCAGTGTCTGGTGTTTCTCTCTACCTTCACATTCAGCCAGTGTCTGGTGTTTCTCCCTACCTTCCCAGGCACCCAGTGTCTGGTGTTTCTCTCTACCTTCACATTCAGCCAGTGTCTGGTGTTTCTCCCTACCTTCCCAATCAGCCAGTGTCTACTGTTTCTCCCTACCTTCCGTTTCTGCCAGTGTCTGGTGTTTCTCCCTACCTTCACATTCTGCCAGTGTCTGGTGTTTCTCCCTACCTTCCCAATCAGCCAGTATCTACTGTTTCTCCCTACCTTCTCATTCAGCCAGTGTCTGGTGTTTCTCCCTACCTTCACATTCAGCCAGTGTCTGGTGTTTCTCTCTACCATCGCATTCAGCCAGTGTATGGTGTTTCTCTCTACCTTCCCATTCAGCCAGTGTCTGGTGCTTCTCCCTACCTTCCCATTCAGCCAGTGTCTACTGTTTCTCTCTACCTTCGCATTCAGCCAGTGTTTGGTGTTTCTCTCTACCTTCACATTCAGCCAGTGTCTGGTGTTTCTCCCTACCTTCGCATTCAGCCAGTGTCTGGTGTTTCTCTCTACCTTCACATTCAGCCAGTGTCTGGTGTTTGGTGTTTCTCCCTACCTTCCCAATCAGCCAGTATCTACTGTTTCTCCCTACCTTCCCATTCAGCCAGTGTCTACTGTTTCTCCCTACCTTCCCATTCAGCCAGTGTCTACTGTTTCTTCCTACCTTCCCATTCAGCCAGTGTCTGGTGTTTCTCCCTACCTTCCCATTCAGCCAGTGTCTGGTGTTTCTCCCTACCTTCCCAGTCACCCAGTGACTGGTGTTTCTCCCTACCTTCCCATTCAGCCACTATCTACTGTTTCTCCCTACCTTCCCATTCAGCCAGTGTCGGAGGTTTCTCCCTACCTTCCCATTCAGCCACTATCTACTGTTTCTCCCTACCTTCCCATTCAGCCAGTGTCTGGTGTTTCTCCCTACCTTCCCATTCTGCCAGTGTCGGAGGTTTCTCCCTACCTTCCCATTCAGCCAGTGTCGGAGGTTTCTCCCTACCTTCCCATTCAGCCAGTGTCTACTGTTTCTCCCTACCTTCCCATTCAGCCAGTGTCTGGTGTTTCTCCCTACCTTCCCATTCAGCCACTATCTACTGTTTCTCCCTACCTTCCCATTCAGCCAGTGTCGGAGGTTTCTCCCTACCTTCCCATTCAGCCAGTGTCGGAGGTTTCTCCCTACCTTCCCATTCAGCCAGTGTCTACTGTTTCTCCCTACCTTCCCATTCAGCCAGTGTCTACTGTTTCTCCCTACCTTCCCATTCAGCCACTATCTACTGTTTCTCCCTACCTTCCCATTCAGCCAGTGTCGGAGGTTTCTCCCTACCTTCCCATTCAGCCAGTGTCTGGTGTTTCTCCCTACCTTCCCATTCAGCCACTATCTACTGTTTCTCCCTACCTTCCCATTCAGCCAGTGTCGGAGGTTTCTCTCTACCTTCCCATTCAGCCAGTGTCGGAGGTTTCTCCCTACCTTCCCATTCAGCCAGTGTCTGGTGTTTCTCCCTACCTTCCCATTCAGCCACTATCTACTGTTTCTCCCTACCTTCCCATTCAGCCAGTGTCGGAGGTTTCTCCCACGTTGACTCCATAGTCCGGGAGTTGTAGTAGTAGCTCCTCCCATCAGCATTCTTGTGTTCCGACCACTCTGCCACCTCTGGGGGCTTTGGGGGCAGCTGGAGGCAAAACACAATAAGACAACATGTACATCTACAGATACAGTGACAACTTGCATCCTTAGTTCTAGACAAGCAGGAATCAATATTACACATGAAATTCATAATTCAAATAAAGAATGAACTATATAGCAATAAGTTTAACTCAATTAAGATGTGAATATATTGTGGAGTTTCTGGATGGATGTTGACTCTCTTTGGGGACCTGCTGACTCACCTGTGTCTGTGGGGGTTTCTGTACGGAGACTGCTGATTCCTGGGGTTGACTCTCTATGGGGACCTGCCCCATCATGGGCTGCTGCTGCTGGGGTACCGGCTGCTGGTTGAAGGCTGGTGGCATCATCCCAGGGTAGCCTGATAAAAGGTAGTATGAAGGGTGAGACTGTCAGACATTCACAACTCCAGCAGCAGTCTATTTACGAACTGTAATATAGCTTTGGTAATTGGTAATATTAATATTGTGAAACATGATACTCAATGTCAATACACACTGACTGAAAAAGATTAATATCAAAGAATGCCATGCCTATAGATATGACAATGTTGAAACAGTACCTTGAGTAGGTGACTGGTCGGCTTGGTTAGTCGCTTGAGCTGAAATTCAAAGAAGGAAAATCAAAAAATTGACAAATCCCCACGATCACTACATCAGCATAGCACAGCTCAAAAAGATCAAACTGATTTTTCTCTTATCACCACATTCATATTTATTTTAAGGTTAAGTTATTGTCCTTGCTGAATACAAAGATAAAGTTGTGGAATGTGGAGCTGTTACCCTGAGCTACTGCAGCCTGAGCAGCTGTTGTGGGCCCAGATGATGTTGTCGCCCCGCCCTGTGCTGCAGCCATCGCCTCCACCTCCGACTGAGTTATAATCTTCACATTCTCTGGCTTAGTCCAAGCGGATTCCCTTGTCCTTGCATTGTAGTAGTACATCTGCAAAAAAACAAGCTTCAGAATTACTAAAAAATCAAATCTTGAATTGCTATATAAGAAATGAGGTATGACAAAGTAGAATTGGCAGACTCAAGAAATGAGAAGACAATTTATCTGAAGTGTTAATGTGACATTTCAGTGCTCACATTTGGACTTTCAGGCGAAAAGTGTGTCAAGGGCACTCAAGGCTGATTCAAAATGTTTATACAAATCTTAAGACAAAGTTGGAACAAGGAGTGAGTAGCATCTTGCCCATTTGACAGCAATATATCCCAGCATGGATTGGGTGATTGGGCTTGACAGACATTACAAAAATAAGCAATCACACCTGGACCTATACCGTTGCCAGAAAACGATTAAACCATTAATTTATGCCAACATGCCTCTTTGGTCAGGGACTTATATTAATTTCCTACACACACCTTGCCCTCAGCTGTCTTTGTTTCCACCCACAGCTCTGCGTCATTCTGTGCGGACTGCTGGGGAGGTCCATAACCTGGAGGGGGCACAGAGAAGTTCGGAGGTGGCATCCCCGGGGGAGGCATGTTTGTTGGGGGCATCATGGGAGGTCTCTTGAAAAAGTAAAACAGATAATTTCATTCTAATGCAATATACCATTCAGCTTTACACAATTTAAAATTCCGCTTTATTGTCAAGCTTAATAAACATGACAAAAAACAATTTATTGACATCACAAAACTTATTCACATATTCTACGAAACTTGCTTGTTATCAAACCACATATCTATCGCTACTAACTACATGTTATCTATAACATAACATGAAGTATTAGTCTCTGATCATGCTGATGGTAATTATCTGACAACATCTGATTCTTTAACTTACCATGCCTGGTGGAGGCATCCCTGGTGGTGGTGGCATACCCTGATGGGGGCCTGGGGGTCCCATGCCCGGGGGTGGTCCCATCCCAGGTGGGGGAGGACCCATTCCTGGAGGGGGAGGTCCCATGCCAGGCCCACCTGGGCCAAAGTTGGGATCAAACGGTGGTCTGCCAAAGGGAGGTGGTCCTCGAGGTGGAGGTCCACGCATTCCAGGGGGAGGTGGACCTCTCATGCCAGGTGGTGGTCCACGCATGCCTGGGGGTGGTGGCCCTCGGAAACGTGGGCCAGGCGGTCCTGGAGGTCTGCCAAATGGGCCTCCCCTAGAGATAAAATGTGATGATCAGGTTATAACAGATGCCTAAGATGCTTATCTCAAAATTGATATGATACAATCTGTTAATCAAATTAATTAAAAGTAGCTTATTATTGTTTTAACCATGAACTACTGAAAATATCCACAATCATATTGTGCAAGTAGAAAGATGACTGTAATTTCAGTTCACATGCATGCTTGTAAGTCCTTTCCGTGACTGATGATTGCAGTTCAGATATGAAAGCAGATTTAAGGTATACAATGGTATAGCTTGTAAAGTCATCCAAATTTTTCAGGTTTGAGATTTGTCATAAAGTGACTCTCTCAAACTGTGTCATAGACCGTGGTGGCTTGCCAACAACCTGTGGCGATTCTGGGTTAGAATAAGTCCCCAGCAAGATATGCTGCTTGTAAGAGGTGACCAAATAGATCAGAGTATTCAGGCTTGGTGACACGAGTGATTGTGTGTCATCGTAACCCGATGGTGTGGATCATTGTTCATAATATCAATCACTGGATTGTGTGGTTCCAACTAGGGATAGTACCTGACCCTACCCATGTACACCCATTGGGTGAAAAGAGTCTGATTGGGAATTGTTTTAATGAGCCCATCCAAAAAAAATACTTATATACAGATATCAAATGATCTGAGTATGCATACAGAAGGTCACTGAAGCCATATCTTTGTTCAAACACATAAAAGTAGGAAAGGAACGCGAACATTAACAACTTGTAGCGTAACCATCAGAGTTGTTTTGTACTTGCCGTTAAACAATCTTGTGACTAACCACGTATCTGGGGAGTCCTTTGAGTACCCGAGTTGTACTTAGGACCCGGTTGCCCAAGTTAATTGTCCTAGCCCTTGTCCAGACATGATTATTTGCAGGCCACCATCATAGACCTGAGCAAGGCATTAAACAACCAACATGTACATAGCTTGCTAACGTACATGCTTGTTTAGCACTGCACCCAGCATTTTTCCAGCTATATCATGTATATGGTGGTGGTTTGTAAATAACCAAGTCTGGACCAGACACTCCAGTAATTAACATAAGAATAGATCGCAATTGGGATATAGTGACATGCATCAACCAAGTCAGCAAGTCTGAACATCTGATCCTGTTGTCACTTTTAACAACATGAACCAGCTTGGGTTGCTGAAGACCAAATCTTGCTAACGAGAAACATAAGTTGTATAGGACCGGTATCATAGCAGGATGCCTGTTGACAGTAGAGTATGGGTATCACATGTCATATAGGAATTACAACCTAGCTAACACTTAGTAACAGTAGAATAACCATTTGTCTTTAATGTTGTGGTATTTCTACTTTTACTGTTGAACGCTGCAGCATGCAAATGTAGGTCATCATTCCTCAAGATAGAAAATAATACAGGTTGCAATGAACATTGCCCCCGTGCGTTAGAGTTTCTGAGTGTAGTTTTGAGCCTCACTAAAGTAGTTAATGCACTATTTTTAAGATGCATATATAATAAAACCAAATTACCAGTCGGGTCGGAAGCGTGGTCCACGGGGCCCCATGAAGCCACCTCTTCCCCGAGGGGGCCCTGGGAATCTGTTTTTGGGATGGAAGTCTGGAGGGTAATCGGGTGGATAGTCAGAAGGATAGTCTTGCGAATATCCTGACTCGTTATATTCCCCAGAACCTTCCATTTGCTCCATTGGAGCTTCTGTAGAAGCCTCCGGGGCTGGTTGCGTTGGCTGACCATTGTCGTCCGCCATTTTGATATGATGGGGGCACGCTGAAGTCGGTTGCATGTAAAACGTATCAAGATTTAGCACCGGAAGCAGATTTGTTTTTATATCAACAAGCACAATTCATTTTTTAAAATATTTCGTATTAAAAGAAAGACTGATACAAATGCGTAGGCTTCGTGCAAGCTAGTTTATCCTCGCGAAGGATTTCAAGATACAAATAATATCACGTTGCGATGAAGGGGATTTGAGAGATATTGAAACATATTTCTGTTTGCCTGGCATTCTAGAAGTTGGTGAGTAAGTAAGAAAACATACAATTTTTTGGGATAACAAC